GGGCACGCAATGCTGTCTTGCGTCGAAAGGGGACTCGGCGAGTCGGTCAGAACGCCGGGACGCTCAGTACTTTTTGCAACGGAGGGACCGACGTCGGATCGGAAGGAAACAGCCGATTGGGCTCAGATTGACGCTATTGGACGTTGCTCGCTAAGAACATGCGCGTGACTCTTTCCTGGTAGGCTTTGCAGGACATCACATGGTGGAAATCGGTTCATGTTCAACGAATGCGCTGCTTCAGGTTCCCAAGGGTCTCCCTTGCGGCACGGCCAGTCAACCAGCCAGCTCAATCCTCAGGGTAGGCAGCATGAAGCGACTCGGTCGGCTCTTGATCCACCACTCAGGGTTACATCGTGGTGCTGCTCTCCTCCTCGGGTTATGGTAGCGTCCGCAGCTGCGGCACTCCCAGCACGATCACGGCGATCAGCTCGATGTCGGCTTATCTCCTTGGCATAGCATTCCAGCGTTATCGCTGAACAACGTTCCCCCGCATCCCGCTGAGCACATTCCTCAACATCATCGCGGATAAGCTCAGTTTCTCACAACATCTCGACATCGGCATTTCCGTTATCCGCTGCTGAGCTTTGTTGCCCTACGAGGCTTTTAGCGCAGGCATTCTTCTTCGTGATGTCCCAATAAACATTACGAACCGGAAGCCTCAGATTCGATGCATCGCTAGCCATTTTCCCATGCCACCCACATCCCCGCTAAAACTTATATAAGCTCAGCTGACCGCCGGGAGTCATCATTTCTTTCGAGCTTCTTCTGATGCCGGTGACCCGTGCTTCGTCCAAAGCCCCGTCCAGCGATCGGGCTATTGCCCAACCATCCGACTCGAAGCCAGCCAAGCAGGAGCTTATTGGCCCTTGCCTGGACATTTTCGACGAGTTATCCGACGACGCTCTGATACACGGGCGCGAAGCAAAGCTCATTCGAGACGTCACTTCATCGGCTTTGACTCAAGTATGGAACGACACTTGTGCGTCGACGGCCTTATTATCCTTATCCGGCTGAAGCATCCTGTTGCGAGGACTTGGTCTGTGCTCTGCTCGCAAAGGATATTTTGGCCTCATCAATCGCCGTCATCACATTCTACAAAGAACAACAACGACGTCTGGAAGAACCACTGCGGCGCCTGGGAGTCCCACTACACACTGTCGACTCAGTTCAAGGTCGGGAAATGGATATCGTTATTGTGCTTACTACTAGGACGAAACTCGACGGCGAATCAGGAGAATTCGTGGATGATATCCGCCGACTCAACGTGGCGATCACTCGATGTAGACATGGCCAGTTTGTTTTAGGTCATGCCGAAGCTCTTCAGCACCTGCCAAACTGGGGACGAGTTCTTCAATGGGCACACGACTGGAATCTTATTGTGGGCACCACGTCACTACCCGATGTCTTTGCATAGCACGGTATTGCCTAGACTAAGTGTAAGTGCCGAAGGTTCCTCACTTTTCTCTACATTTTTTTTCTTTTCCTCCCATTTATTTACTTTAGTACTTATTTATTCACAGGGATTGATTTCAGTAGTCCACTCTGCGACCTAGTTGCTCTTTATTGGAAGATTTTGGTTTCACTGCTACTCATCTTATCCACTACCGCCACCATCTCCTTGCCGCTTTATTTACGTCACTGGTTCGCTTTAAGTTTTGTCTCTGGTCTAAGGTGAGCAGCGTTCCTTTTTTTCCAGATTTTTTTTGGGTTGTTGGGGATCGGCTTGGAGCGGCCCAGATCAACAGTTAGGTCGATTTGTTCGGGGTTATTTACGTTTATTATTATTTGTTTCTTCCCCTACCCAGACTAATGGGAAGGAACCTGGGAAGATTTTGGGAGTTGCAACTCAATTCACATAGTTCAGTCATGCAGGGTCTCGCGTTGTTCCCTTCTGGACCCAGGGCTTCACCTACGTCCGAGGACGGACGTATTTGGGTAAAGGGGGGAGGTGTAAGCCTGTAGGCTTTCCCAATCGATAGGCTATGTTTACAGGCTTCTCAAGCGCATCGGAATGCCAGTACGAAGATCTGAAGCGCTGATTTCAGGCCGTCAGCCGGCACGGTACTTAAACTCTGGACGCGTGTCGAAGAGGCTTCTCCCCCACCGACGCCTGCCGCCGCCACGACGTTCGTCTCGATCCGGTAGTCCGGAGCTACAGGACCTGTGCTGGTGACCAACCCTGCCGTCTACCACCCGCCGTCAGCACGACTTCACTGCGCCTTATTCTACTGGTGACTGAATAAAATAGTTGCATTATTCTGTCCTGTATTGTACGGAGAACAGACACGGATTCGACTCTGGCGAACCCAG